ACCCTCTATGGATTGATTAGGTGACTGGCGTAATCGGGATGGGTGTGTCAAAGGGGGTGTGGTTGGCGCAGGATAGAGCAGGGTTTAGGGCTGTTGTGCATAGGGTCATAGGGTCGCTACGAGTCGCAAACGACTGGAGGGCACATAACAACAACAACATTACATAAAATATAGAAAGGAGCATACAGAAAGAGATATCCAAATCTTCCATGGACTATTTAGCTCCTTTAGAACCTGCACTGATGCTTACCCTTGCCCTCTTCCACGTGAAAATTAATCTCCTTTTGAAATTTCCCATCTTTTGTTAATACATCACAAATTCACTTACTATCACTAATTTTGTCCAGGGAGGGGAGCTCTGGTGGCCTAGTGGCAAGAAGCTGCACTGCAATCCCAGAAGAGCACGGTTCGAATCCACCAGATGCTCTGCCGGGAAAGGAGGAGCAATCTCCTCCTGTACCAGTCAGATCTGATTTGACGGTACAGGCACACACACAAATAATAAAAAAATATATTTAAAAAAAATTTGTCCAGGGCAGTTTTTCACTAGCTTTAAATTACACAAAGGCAGCTGCCATACATATTATTTATTTATATCTCTGAGATGGTTATCAGAGTCCTTTAAACAAAACAAACACAAATTTTTACTAAACTCAACGTTTGTGTGAAATTGGACAGGATATAGGAAAAAAAACCATCAACTTTAATGAAATATATTTTTATACTGATCAAATATACCCTACTTGGTGTGGTCTGTTACTTACCAAGAAAGGCTACCTTTAAAGGAAGATGTCAGAGCACTGAGAAGGCAAAAAGTATAAGAAGAGCTAGGCATTGCAAGAACTTAGAAATAAAAACCAGCTCTCCATTATTTGCCGTAAACATTTACTCATCCTCAAAGTTTATATATAGTTGCAGGCTTTACAGTCTACTACAACTCAGTGCATCAAAACTGCCTCATAACTGACCCTCCAACGGATTTCCAGAGGCTGTAAATCACTTGGGAAGAGACTGTCCATTGCAGAGTAGCTAGCTGGTGGATTCAAACCACTTGCCTTTGAGCTGACAGTGCAACTCTACCCGCTAGTCCATCAGAGTTCCCTTAAAGTCTACTTGAACAATTTTCATTCCAACCCAGGCGCTCGTTAATTTGATTTTGGCAAAACTAATTAACAGATCAAGTCTCAATTTTTAAGTCACAAAAAGGGAACAACTGTATACTAGACAGGGGCATGAGGGTCAAACGAGTTAATTTATGAAAAGCACTTAATACAGAATCTGACATACAGTAAATGCTATTCCTCTCCATTAGGACAGTAGGGGAAAATGTGTCCCAATCAAATCAGAGAAACTCTGATAAGGAGGGCAAAAAAAAAAAAAAAAGATAAAGGTAGAACAGACACAGCCAGAGTTAGGGAAAATTCAAGGAAAGTTACGTAGAACGGTTACTATACTCAGGACATCCTCTCCCAACTGGTTACCAGGACCCTAGTCCTGGAAGACTCACCGTCACCCCGTATTTGAGTGCTAGTCCAGCCAAAGTGTCTCCAGGTTCCAATTGATGTTCCAGGCGTCTTTCCCTCACTGGGGAGCAGACAGACTGCACCAGACTTCCATAAGAACGAGCTCGGCTCCCCTGAAGCAGTCCTGATGCCCCGAGTGGGGGCTGTCTAGGAGAAGCCATCTCCTCAACCTACAAACAGCTGGGGTATGTCACTAAACGAAGACACGCTAAGAGATCGATACGGAAAGGGCCGGGATCGGGGAATGGATATCTAGGGAGATTCCACCCTCATTTTGCCTAAATCCCTATCCGGTCCTCTCTGCCTTTGCTCCTCCTCACTCCCAGAACCTCCAGCCCTCTCCCGGCACTCCTCTTCTCCTCACCTAGGGACCCAGAATATTACAGAGAATTATCTACCCTCACTTCTTTTTACTCCACGCCTTTTTAAATACAAACCCATTCAGTCTTCACTTAAGAGTGCCCCTTGAGAATGAGAATGCTATACCGCTACTCTACACTGACCTCTGACCTTTGAACCCTAAGCACCCTCCTCAAAACACCCATTTCTAAATTTGCCCCTTAGCCAGCAGCCCAGCCTCCCCACCCCGACCCTGGCTCCGCCCCGTCCTACGGTTGGTCATTTAGGCTCAGGAACAAGTCGGGCCCACCCCTGGTGGGCTGGCGCAGCCGACTAAACCCGTGAGGATGGCGTATGTCTAGTCCACTATCTGCCTTGAGATCCTTAAGGATTTGCTCCGCATCAGATTAGTTTTAAATGAAGACTCAAGCCTCAGCTCTGCACATACACTCTTGCTCCTTCAGATGACTCGAATCTGCCGAGATGTAAGGGCCTGGTTCCAACCGGGAGACAAGTTCTTTAAGAAAAGACTTCATTTCCCAAGGGGCGGGGCCACGCGCCCGCAGGAGTCGCAGAGCACCATAGGAAATGCAGTCCCTTTACGGTGACAGACGTGCTTTCTGGATCGCGCAGTGCATGCCCGGAAGTGCAGACCCGGAAGTAACGAGGTCAACCGGAAAAAAGACCTGAAAAGCTAGAGGCGACGCCCACCTCTCGATACGGTGGCCTGAAAGCAGTGACGAATACTGTACTTTGAATTTATCGGTTCTAGGAGTCCTTGTCACAATGTCTTTCAAGAGGGAAGGAGACGACTGGAGTCAACTCAATGTACTTAAAGTAAGCGCGAAAGGAGGGGGTCTGGGTAAACTTCGGTCGCTCTCGGAAGACTTTGAAGGAGTTTTTTTCGTTGGTCTGGCAACATCTCCACGGGTTGGGGACCAAACGGGAGCCAGGTTTCTAGACCTCTACCTCCGCCCTGTGGTCCTTATTTCCTTTGATTCTTGATAATTATAATTTTCTTCCCTCCTCGTGTCTCATTAATCTCGTCCGGACTTCCTCTACTTGCAGAAACGAAGAGTTGGGGACTTGCTGGCCAATTATATCCCAGAGGATGAGGCACTGATGCTACGAGATGGACGGTGAGGGCAAGAAGAGGATTTTGCAGTTGGAGGCTCAGCAACATTTGTTAGTAAGGAGGGGTTCTGAAATAGAATTTTTTGGCAGAGAATGAGAGACTGGATGTGACAGGAAAGTGGGTGATGGAGGTGAAGAAACCTGGAAGTTGGGCTTTGGAAAGTACTCCTACAGGGAGGGACTTACAACAGGCCTCCTGGCCCTCCCCTTGGACCAATTCTGTTTCCCTCCTCAGTTTTGCTTGTTCCATCTGCCCTCACCAGCCGGTACTGGACACCCTCACCATGCTTACTGCTCACCGAGCAGGGAGAAAACATCTTTCTAGTAAGTTTAGACGAAGATAGAGAATAAAGAATAAATACTCAAAACTTCTGAAGACCATTCTTGGTACTTTTCTTTTAATTCCCCTCCCCTTACTCTTCAGGCTTGCAGCATTATTATGGCAAGAAGCAGCAAGGAAAGAGAATGGAGCAGAATCCAAGACAACAGAATGAATTAGGGGAGGAAACCAAAGCTGAGGTGATCACAAAGAGAATAAGACCTTGGTTTATGCCCAAGACAAGACCCTTGATGTACACCCTCGGCTTAATGTGGTTGGGCTTTTCTCTAGCTTTGAAAGGTCTAACTCTTTCCCCCCTATCTTTATACCAGGCTCCTCTGCTGGCCCAGACTCGATTTATCACTCAGAGCACTCTGCATAGAGCTCCCCAGTACAGCAGTTGTTGTCGACGGAAGTACAGGTCTGTGGGATGGGAAAGGCAAAAAAAAAATAAGGATATTTGAGGGTGGGAAACAGGGAAAGAATATTGTTGCTGTATTAGCTCTTAAATGTATGTCTATGCTTAATTTTGAGATAATTTTTGTATATGGTATTGGGCAGAAAATCCAGTGCTGTTTTTTGCATGCATCTTAGTTATCCAGTTGTTTCAGCACCGTTTATTGAGAAATCTATTCTTTCCTCACTTAGCATTGTTATATTAATAGGAATTAAGAAAAGATAAAAAGAACAGTGTGGAAATCTGTAGGAGGAACAGAGGGGAATAGATGGCTTAAATTTATTTTCAGAATTGTGGTTTGAAGACTACTAGCATTCTGAAGATCTAATTGGTATTCCAAGAAAAAGATAATTTAGTGATTTTAGGAAATGATGTCTTGTGATTTTACTTGAAGAATAGTAATATTAGCATATTTAAAGGGTTCTCCAAACCCTTGAAATAAAAAAAAATCACTTAATCTAGGATTTTCCAAATTAATTTTACTTTAAATCCCTTTATATGCATAATACTTATTAATATTTTGAGGAACACAAGTTAGGAAGCACTCTGGCATTTACAGAAGAGTTGGCCTTTTCCTTTACTGCTTTTATAGACTTCAATCCTTTTCTACCCAGACCAGAAGCCCCTGGTCCCTCTGTTTCCCATACCCCTTTGCCACCTTCAGATGTTGAACTCCAGAGTGGGAAGATCAACAGGGAATCTGAGCCTGGAGCTAATGCACAGGCCAAGAAGCCGGCAACTGTCCCAACCCCTGCACCCATGAGCCCCACGAAAAGACGAGCCCTAGATCATTACCTCACCCTCCGAAGGTAAGTGTGTAGAAACATTTCCCTCAAATCTGCTTTTTGTGACCCACCTTTTCCCCTAAGCCTAATGAAATTGAATTTCTAGGGGTTCCCCCCCCCATGATCTTCATTAACTTCTTAAATTTTCTGTCCTCATTCAAACTAATTTTGTATTTTCTGACATTTCCAGCTCTGGATGGATCCCAGATGGAAAAGGTGGATGGGTGAAAGATGAGAATGTTGAGTTTGACTCTGATGAGGAAGAACCCCCTGGCCTCCTCTTGGACTGACACCCTTTTCCCTTGTTTTACAAATAAACTTTAACAGGTGCTAGGAATCTAGTTTTCATCGAGTTTGATTTCTTGTCCCATCTTGGGATTTCAAATCTGTTCTTTCTTAGGCTAGACTCTTCCCTACAATGTACACAGCTTCCCATACTTCTGGCCCCTCCCCCACTTTCTACCAAAGTCATGCCAAGCGTCAGCTGCATGCTGCCTGGTGCCCTATTAATAAGTCTGTCAGAAGGAGGTCTTTGCCCTTCATGATCTGTCTCCTTTGCACCTCCAATAAAAGTCGTTCCTCCTTCAAATCACATGAAAGCTATGGGTAGGCACTGGGTGGGAGTTTGGCCACATCTGGAAATAGACTGAGGCTAGGTACCCTGTCAAAGTAGAATAGACAGAAATCATTGCCAGAGTTATGGGGAGCACCAACCAAGGGCTCTTCCCCACCTCCTCCTAGTAACCTGAACCTCCCTGCCTGCTGATCCCCAGAGTATAAATAATCCCCTGGTGAACTGGCAGTAACCCTTGGGGGTTAGTGCCAAGATTCCCACTCCTAAGCCCAAGGAAAGAGGCAGACAGAGTAGACATAAGGGATTTTATTTACAGGAAGGTGGATAGATGAGGATTTAAGTATTCAGGACTTCCAGCTCTATTTGGTAAAGGGAAAGACAGTGTGTTATCTCTTCTTTTGCTGGCGACCTATAAAGGAGAAAGAAAAAAACATAATTCTTTGTCTCATCCTTCTGTAAAAACACACTTCATGTTTTTTGGTAGCTTAGGCCTACTCTTAAAAGAGGTGGAAGTAGGCCACCTGGCAGGCCCTCACCACATTAAGAAAACAAAATAAGAAACCACACCATACCATGCCTCCAAATAGCTTTATCTAGCTTCCTTTCTATCTCTCTCCACTAGTAGACATTTGGGGTTGTTATATGCCATCAAGTCGGAACCAACTCATAGCTTCCCCTCCAGTGGGTTTTCAGAGGCTGTAAATTACACAGGAGAATGCCCATCTTTATCTCAGAGAACAACTGGTTGATTTGAAGAGAGTGCCTTTGAGATGTGCTCCTTACTATAAGGTCACCAATGTAGAGGGACTTTTGAAGTTCTGATTCAAATACTTTGGGCAGGTGGCCAGGAGGGACCAGTCCTTGGAAAAGGACATCATTCTCAGAAGGGTAGAGAGACAGCATATGAGAGGAAGACCCTGGATGAGATGGATTGATACAGTAACTAGGGCAATGAGGGTATGTGTGTCAGAGATCAGCTCAGGACAGGGCCAGCTTCAGAGCTGTTGTACATAGGCCGCTATGAGTTGCAGGCGACTTGACAGTACAAAGCAACAACAACAATCATAAGACTTGAGCTTTTCATTTGAATGTCTCTTTGATAGCACAGTTTGTGGGTCACTAAGTCTGCATTTAGGAGGCTCCATCAGCTTCTTGACTTCTTTGCCCTTTTCCCCGAACCCATGACTGCAGTTACTCACGTAGTTCATTATTCCGAGTCATGGCTTGGGCTGCCCGAGCTCGTGGCCCCTGCTGTGTGAAGTGGTAGCCAAAGCGCACAATAGAGGGACACTGCTCTAGCACAGTGGCCATCTCCATCTCCACTGCATCACCAGGCCACTGGCGCTGGGGGTGGGAAATACAGAAACTATTAGCTGCCAGTTTAGGTTGCTAAGAGGAGGAGGGGGAGAGCCCTAGGTTGGTGCTCCCTATAATTCTGGGCTATTCACCATTCCAGATCATGAGCCCAGTGGTCAAAGGGCCTTATTTCTCCAGAGTGGGTGAGAAGTGCCGACTTGGACCCCTTGGACAAAGGGGAGAAGTCAAACAAGATTAAAGGAAGTAGCCGTCCCACAGGTTGTTTCAGAGATGGGAGTTTCAATGAGTTGTGGCTGCAAAAACAGGAGGAGGTGCTGACCTGGTTGTCTACTCGGAGCTCGGTGAGTGTGGCATTTTCCCGAACTGCCTTCAGCACAGCCATGAGCCCTGTGCTGCTAATGAAGTTGGATTCAATGTTGAGGCTCTGGAGACTACGATTTTCACGTAACATGTCAGCCACCGCCTGAGTAGTAGGGACTTGGATTAGGATTAGGAAGAAGTTTCACAGATGACTGAGGAGAGAAAGAATAGGAGCAAGAGGGAAACACAGCTCTGAGTCATTGAGGAGCTGTAGGTGGGACAAGAGGGGAGCAGAAGGGTGGGTAGGAAAAAGCAGGGGAATGGAACTGAGTATGCAGTGGAGTTGGGAGTGTGACAGAGGGCAGTAACCCTTTGGGAAAATAAGGAGTGCTGAGCTATGAGCCCCAGAACTGAAGATAGGAGCCTCGATTAGGGCATCCCTAAGAAACCATGATAGAAATAACACCCTCCAGCACAACCCTTTATGAGAAGCTTGCCACCGTGCAAGTCAGAGTATGGGGAGAAGGTTGGAAATTGAACAAGACTTACGTTGGCAATGGGGTCACCACTCTTTGTGGCCACAAGACTGAAGCTCCGGATGTAGGTATTTGTCTTCATTGCCTGACATAGCTCAGTTAATATAGGTATTGGGATGTCCTATCAGCAGGAGAATAAAGGACAGTGGGCTTGGGGTTCAGATATTGTCAGCAGAGTTATCCCAGTATTTAAAGGATGGGAGTCAAATACCTGTATATTATTGAGGTTCACTTCCTCCAATTCCTTGTCATTGCTTTGAACTCTCTTTAATATCTCCTCAATGTTTGTGGGATTTGGGGGTTCATCTGGCACTGGCTTATACTTGTCAGGCTGCACTACACCTGGTGGGTGAGGGCAGGAAGAGAATCCCAGCATGTTCCCCCAGTCTCCTCCCCATTGCTTATCATTCATGCACTCATCTCCTCTCCCTGATCCATCTGTTTCACTCTTTACCACTTTTCCCAGACTCTTAGACTATCTGCCAAGAGCTTTGAGGTCATGCTCCCCAAGCACACTCACTGCTAATGCCTTCGGTGTTGCAGATTTCTCCGCTACAGATGGCGTCATAGTATTGCTTGTTGCTCATCAGCGTGTACATGCCCAGAATTGCTGGAGAAGGTAAGCAGAGGGAGCAGAGGGAATGACAGAGGAACTGTTCCAAGCACCCTATCTCATTCTGAATTTGTTGCAGCATATTTACAGTATGAATTCTATTCTTCCCAGGAGCTTTCCTATGTGCCCTAGGCTCCAAGAGTCCTTCAAATAAACTGCCTAGGGCAGTGGCTTGTGTTTTTTTTTAAATTATTCAGGGTTAAAGTCAAGTCCATAAGGAACTATTAGAGTGAGAAGCTATATAGACCCTTTCTTGATTTCAGTCAGAATTGCTCTACTTTTGTTTTTATAATCCTGTAAAATTGTCCTTGAGGTGTTAACTAAACTGAAGGAAAAGAAACAAAACCCCACAAAACCTCAAAGCCAAAATTAAATAAGAATGAAAACCACTGCCTCCAAGCCCTTCCCACCAGCCCCAAGCGACAGCTATAATCTCCCTGCCCCTGCTTTTCTCACTCCCCTCAGCTTCCTGCAGCTGCTCACCTGCAATGTCACACATTTCAGCATCTGTGGCATGGGCCAGCGCCTCTTCCAGCTCAGGCTCCAGGGTAATCTGCTCCTGTGCTGGGATTTCTCTCTTGGGCTGAATATAGGGTTTCCCTGATGGGAAGATGGAGAATGCAGGAAGAGGCTAGTTTCCCCAAGATTTTGGCCTCCAGTTTCATTTCCTTCTCCAGCTGGTGGAATGCTAGGTCTCTAAGTGACACTGGAAAGTCAGTCCTTTACAAGCTCAGAAATTGTATCCCATGGGGCCCTCCTAAGAACAAAAAGATCTTAAACTAAAGTTGCAAGCTTGGCACCAGAGAACTCAACTTCCTGGGAAGCTCAAAGCTGAAAGGTGGGCAGGGAGCTGGAGGGAGGATAAGCAACAAATGCTATCTGGGTTGAAGGAGGCATGTAGCAGGGTCCCCATACCCTTCTTTTCGCCTGTGAAGGGCACCAAGTCATCACGCTCTTTGACTTCTAGTGCCTGCTGTTCCAGGTATTGCAAAAGAGCATCTCGGTCCAGTGGCCCTGTTGGGCTCTTCTTTGTCTGGTCACGTTGTCTGAGTCCAGCTGGCAGGAGCATGTTCTTAGGGATGGGTTTTGAGGAACAAGTCAGATTTCTGTTCTGGCCTGGGGCACTTCCAGAGCTGGCCCTCTAGGGACTCCAGGCTCTATAGACAGTCCTGGTCTCTGTCATGCAAGGCCCAGAACAATTCCCAAATGCCCAAGGACTGCCCCTGAATTCCCTGTAGATGATCTGGACTCTCCAATGAGCTCCTACCTCCGGGTCCATTTCCTGTAGCTCACAGTCTAGCTGCTCTAGCTCCTCAGGGCTCAAGGTCCTTAAGATCTCATCTTCATCAATGTCTCTGTATTTCTCCAGTTCCTTCTGATATGATGACATGGCAGCCTCTACCCCCTCCCCACTGTGTGGTGCTCACACAGACTTGGGACCCTGGTGGACATGGGGAGAATGGTCAAAGAAGGGAATAAATACAAGGATACATTTGGGACACAAAGACATCAGCCAGCAGGCAAAGCAAGGAATAGGATTCCTTGTGGGTAAGAAATCTATTTGTAGTTAGGAAGTTGTAGAAAGGTTAGATTGGTTAAAACCAGACCTCCTTCATCCTGCTTCTCTTTTAGTCACTCTGGATGGGGATCCCAGGATCCAAGCTGGGATTGCTGACCCACTGCATGACAGAGAAACTTTGGCAGCATCCCTCCTCTATAACCTCGCCCGTCAATGCCTCTCACCCTAGCACAGCTGCTGAGGAGCCTGCCAACATGGCTGGCCCCCTGCCCAGTTCCTATTGAGAGGAAGGAGATAGGCAGAGAGCTTCAGGGAAATTCTTCCACTTCCCCACAAGCCAGCTGCTTTTTTTTTTAATCTTTAAGGAAAACAAGGATTGGTAGAGTGGTGGAGGGAGAGGGACAGCTCTACCTTTCGTTATCTTTTATTGTGGGACAGATCGAGTTCACTAAGTTCACTAAAATTCTCACTCTTCAAGCAAGCAAGGACTGGGGAAACCTCCAGGTTGGAGGAAGGGTGGTAGTACCTCAGGAAAAATGACTAAGTCACCAAAATTTGTCTCAAAATTTTAGACAGGAAAAGGACACTCACCCAATGGGTAGGAAATGTCTAAATGGGATAGTTTATCTAAAAACAGTGGGAGGATTAAAGTTGCACTATCTTTTACAACATGAAAAAACAGACATGCTGCACATACATGTTAAGTATGCAAATACCACAAAATGTGAGACACTTACGCTGACCACATAAATGATACAGGTGTGGACGGACAGTGGCAGAAACATGCTAAGAGACGAGACAGGTAGACTCCGTATCATTTGCAACTTGAGCCTTGTTTCTCCTCCCATCTCCCACCAGGCTCCGACCCGACCCATAAGCCCCATGCCTCCTCCACCTACCAGTCCTGATTGCCACCTCCTTTCTCACCTTCCCTTCTGTTCTGCTGCAGCACTGTCCCGGCAGCAGGAGGAGCCCAGTGCCGGGGGAGAGGGTGGGGGAACAGTGAGCTCAGCATTTTATTATTTTAGCTCTGGCCAGGTGGGGGGTAGTGGGAGATCACATATACACAGCCCCCATACCCTGCCCAGCCCTGAGAGCCTCTAGTGGCCAATGATGGACACAGCACTTCCTCCCCTCTATACAAGCGGGAGTCCTTCCTAGACACTGGGGTACAAGAATGGGACATGCTACTTATCTGGTGCCTGCTACATTCAAAGAATATGAGAGTGAAGAAAAGGAATTTGTTTTGGAATCTCATTCTAATTCTAATGCATTTTTAATCTAGTTAGAGAATAACTCTACAATTAAAAAAAGATAATTCATACTAAGCGTTATAAAAATCTGTAATTCCAAATACTTATTCCCGACCCTAGAGTAGAAACCACTTGATTACGCTTGTGTAAAACTTATCCTCAGACCACGAAACAATCGTCAGAACAGAGCAAGAAAACACTGTATGGTTCAAAATCAGGAAAAGAATGTGTCAGGGATGTGTTGTCTCCCTATTTTTTTTTTAATCTATAGGTGAAACGGATCATTTGAGAGACTGGGCTTTATAAGGAATACAGCATGAGGGTTAGAAGAAGACTACGTTATGTAGACGACACAACCTTGCTGAAACTGAAGTGCTTGCTGCAGAAGGTTACGGATTGCAGTCTTCAATATGGATTGAATCTCAACATCAAGATGACAAAGGTCTCACCACTGGGCCAATTGGTAGCACAAAAGAGATTGAAGTTGTTAACAATTTCAGCTTGCTCGGCTCCACAATCAACACTCTTGGAACCAGCAGTCAGGAAATAAGACATATTGGGGAATTTTGCTATCAGGGACCTCTTACAGAGTATGGAGAAGCAACGATATCAGTCTAGAGACTAACGTGCTCCTAATCCAGGCCATGGTCTTTGCAATTACTTGCTATGCATCAGAGAGCTGGACAATGATGAAGGCAGACAGAAGAATTGATGCCTTTGACCTGTGATGCTGGAGAAGAGTCTGGGACATACCACGGCCTACCAAGAGAACAAATAGGTCTGTCTTGGAAAGGGTGAAACCAAGTTTCTCTTTGGAGGCTAGGATTTTGAAGCTCTGCCTCACATACTTGGGGCACATGGCTGGAGGGCTCAGTCCTTGGAGAATATCATGCTCAGAAGGGTGAAAGGACAGCATAGAAGAGGAAACCCCCAGATGAGATAGATTGACACAATAACTGGGATAATGGGGATAGGTGTGTCGAGAGTCATTGAGATTGGCTCAAGATAGGGTAGGGTTCAAAAATGTTGTACATAGGATCGCTATGAGTCACAGGCAACTTGACAGTACATAACAACATAGTAGACATCAGACAAAAGAGATCATTCTATTTATTGGATTAAAAACACAAAACCAGCAGGAACTAGGGGAAAGGAATACAGGGGGGAAAAAAGCTGGATGAAGAAGCATCAGAGATGGCACAGAGGAGGAACATCAAGAGACCCAGTCAGGGCAGGAAAGAGGTTTCCAAGGATTAGACATTTCATTTGATGACGATTTTTTGACGTAAGGCTCGGGGCCCAGGGCCAGGAAGGGGCTCAGGAGGTGGTGGGCCAGGGCCCAAGGCTGAAGCAGTTGGTGGCAATCCATGGGCAGTGATATACTTCTTATAGGCCTCACGGATGATCTTGAAAGCTCGGGCAGTCGCATAGGGTATGTCAGTCACAGGGTCCCGGTAGAGGGCTGGGCGATGGGTGACTGGACAGACCTCTCGAACAGGGACCTTTGGAGGCCGCCCTTGTGGGAACCATTCCTCAAATGTCGCATCATCACTAAAAGTGATGAAGGTACGAGAGCAGCGGGCAGGGGGGATGACAGGTCCAGTCCCAGAATGTGGAGTCAATGCAGAAACCGTGGGAACAGGATCAAGTCTGAAGGCAAAACAGAGAGTAGACATAAATAAAGAGCTTAAGAAAGAAAACAACAAACAATAGAAAAACAGTAAGACCAAGAAAGAAAAAAGGGAGGCAGAATGATATGGAACACTGAGGGAATCTATTAAGTAATCTATCTCTCTCTCATTGCCTTTGATTCTGAACCAACCCTCTTCACAGCTGACCCTCCAACAGGTTTTCAGGAGGCTGTAATTTGGAAACAAAGTGTTCTCCCCATCTCTGCTTGCTGCTTATCTGTTCCCCTTGGAGCCACTAGCGGATCTGAACCAGTAGAGAGGTGCTGCTTTTGGGTCAACAACTCCCTACAGACTCGGCAACCAGATATCCCCTATTAAGTAACAAACTGAGAACGAGAATACTAGACTGGAAGGGAAAATGCGATAAAAGAGGCAAGGGTGAGCGAAAGAAACAAGGTGATTGGAAAGACACTCAAGTATAGCAAGAATTGTGTGAGGAAGATAAGTGAAATGGAGCCAAGAGAGTATGAGCTGAATACAGAGGAAGAGAACCTGTTTTTTTCCCTTGAAAATCACTCACCCTTCTACATCAACATTTTCTTCCTTGGGGACTGGCTCTCCAACAAGTGGCACTGTCACAGAATGATAGGTGATTATAGGACCAGGACATTTCCGTTTCTTGTGAACTTGCTTCTTTTTGTCAGCCTCAAGTCGCTCATATGTCTCTTCAGGGTAACAGGAAAGAATAACAGAATGGTCAGCATTTCCCCTCTTCCTACCCTTCAGGTCTGCTCCATGATCTAAATTATCTTCCCAAATAAATTGTGCAAAGTCCTCCAATAACCTCTGATTTCATTAGTTTCTGCTGGACATTCCCCATGTCCTTTCTGCTCATGTCTCAAGTACACTTGGTTCCTCACTCAGAGGAAAGAGTACTTCAGGATTGGGAGGAACTCTTTGATGATGAGCCTGCTCATTTGCCCACAGACATTCTAGAATCTCTTCTACGTATGTCTGGTCAACTCACTCCCTTTCAAGGTAGTTCGTTACATCTACTTATTATAGCTTTCTTTCACATGTTGATGTTATGTGCCGTCGAGTCGCTTGCGACTCATAGCGACCCTATGTACAACAGCCCTAAACTCCACTCTGTCCTGTGCCAATCGCACTGTCTCT